AAGAGAAACAAAATACTAAACATGCGCACAGCATAAGTGTGATAGTCAAGCAGGTCAGTTTGAGTGATTGGTCTTGGATTAGAACTTGAGGATTAAAACAGACACTTGATAATATGTGACATACTACTCCCGGCGCGACTGTAGTTTCTCAATGTCACCTTCTGTTTTATATTGTCCATTTTGAAAGACAATTTGATGTGTTTGGGGTAGCATAACTCAGCATAACTGATGAACTCCTGCTGCTGGGCAGAGTATATAGAGACTATTACACGAGCAAGTGTGTCATACGAAAAGAGTGTGAAATTTTGAATACGCTTCGTATACGTCATATACTACACATGCTGTAATAATTTCTTTATTATCCATTTGGTTCATGAACACTTTGTGCAGTAAAACACTGTAAGCAAGAGTGACGGCCCTCTTCATTGACGTCACGTTCAATTGTTTAATGGCGTCACAGACGACGAAACTCAGAAACCATGGTTGCAAGGCAAAAGTGATACGTACACATATGGTATATATGACATTAGTTTATGTTTCACCATATGGGTAATAAGGTTCATTACATGACAGGACTTCGTCAACTATATAGTAATACACTTTTGAAGGATGAAATCGGTAATAACGCCTGCGACTATTAACGCATTATGACGAAAACTGAGCTCTTTAATGCTGACTGTTATGTTGTGAATTCATATTACTAAAACTGTATTCGGTCTGGTTTAATCTTTGTATTCAGTGCTTTTATTGACCCCTCTAACTAAGACAATCACTGTGTTGGAATGCAACTTCTGATGTCAGTTCGAATCTATAGATGAACTTTATACAAACCAAGCTTTCAGTTTAGATGGTGGAATTTTAGAAAATAATGTCATTTTTGTCTTTTTGCCATGTTACAATTTCTCTTTGATTTCAAATAATCGTTAAAGATATTGTTTTCGTTTGTACATCAAACATTTTGAAGATTCCCCATATGCATTATTTATGCTACTTACTGTGTTTTATCTGTCACCTTGTCTTAACAACGTGGGATTATTCGTATTTACCTTTTGTTATGTGTGTGTATCACACTAACATGAAAACATCCTCTAACTTGTGATGCAACAAAACGTTGTTGTATTTAACTAAATCTTGTGAGCTCACCGACAGCGGAACAGAGTTATGCTCACATTACGTAAATTAATTATATGGTCTGAGAAATATGCTCATAGTGGTAGATGGCATAGATGGCATATCAACATGTTGCAACCAAATATAATCATATCCACTTTCGTGTGATAGGTTTCAACTTTTGATGTCTGGTGTATTCTCCCATGGCTGAAGAAGTGCGATATTATCACATCTACTTGAGTGTAGATTGCACATTAAAAAGTATTACCCACAAATCCATAGGCTTTACATAATTAGAGGTAGATGGAAAAACTTCCCCATTAATCATATACCCTTGCGTTTTGCGCTTTAGAACCCCCAAAAAAAAAAAAAAAAAAATAAATAAATAAATAAAGGAAAAAAAGAAGGCATCCCCCAACAATACAAAAAACAAACAAAAAAGTACATGTACATGTTGTTAAAAATGTTCTTGCCTAAATATATCTGATCCATAGATTGGAATCCAACTTATCTTTGTATCAGATATATGAATGTAAACACGTTTAATTTACTCATACACACCAAAGAGTTTTTATATGCCAACCAACTTTATTTTTTAAATATACACCAATGTATTTTTAACATAAGTCACCATCTTTGGCATTTCCTTTATACAGCTCGCTTTTAACTTTCTTGATAAGTTAAAAAAATATTTAAAACCTGCAGTAATGCTTATCCATATTTACAGTGACTATAGCTTCGAATGCAATGATTGCTTCACAGCCCGAACAGAGATGGCCGAGGTAGTGTAAATATGTGGGCGGATCTCACCAACAGGTGGATCACACCTATTGCCTATTAAGCCTAACTTGTAGGAAACGGCAATAATTACTGTTTAGTTCAGATGATCAGTATCTACAATGAGTTCTGAAATACACATCTTATAGTTTGGATGGAATTATATTTAATGGAAATACAACAACCGGACGCCGTATGGTAAATAGGGCTGCCTTCTTGCTTGCTATTGCAATATACGGGATGTGTTTACAAGGGCGTTTATCTCACTTACTTCCAACTGTCATATAATTAGATGTTAATCTGTATGTACATTTCATTTTATATTGCTTAATACATGCAACCAATGAAGCCACCCCTAGTATTTCTTAGGCTTCGTCGAGTTACACTACACATGCTATTTGCTGTATTATAATTGAATGTTTCACTATCTTAACTATTTAATGATCCGTCATAAACACTGGTGTCTGATATAGTCGGAATCGTACAAAGAACTGATTCAGCTTCATCGTATTTGTCATATAGGAAGGGTTTTGTTGTTTTGATATACCGAAGATGAACGGGAGTTAACCTGGCGCTATCAGTCAATCTTTATTCGGTACTTAAACTCCAGAGGAGTATAGTACATTCATATACACAATATTTACAACTGAGCAGCAGAATAGCATGTCAAATATTTACAGATTACAAATTTAAAATAGATATACTTGTACATTGACAGGTTCTGCAATTCAATAGTATGTTCATTTCTTTATTATTCCAATATAAGCTGTGTAAATAGTTCCGTCAGACATGCGTACTTTCTCAAGTGGGATATTGAATGGTTATGAGTTCCTTACACTTCAAGGGAAAGTCATCAAACGTCAAAAGAAAAGTTACCCTCTTTTCTTAATGAATTTCTTAAAATCTACTCAAGTGAGGATGAACATTTGTGCTGCATTGTGGTGCGTGGACGTCCACTGCTTGGTCTGTCTACGGTGACCCCAGTCTGTCTGTAGCGCTGAATAAGTTTATAACCGTGATACGGTGGCATCCCAGGGCGTTGGCAACATCATTGTATGTCGACCCCAATAGCTCTTTCTCTCTCTTCCGCTGTTACTCGTGGCACATTTCTCGTGCTTGTGTATCATATCATGCATTCTTGGCTCTCTTTATACCCTATAGAATCATTCTACACGGGAAATTGATGCAAAATTCTGTTTGAATATTGCTACGATTTGGCGACAGATATTGCTATGTGTAAACAGAAAATAGAAAATGTTACTTTGCAAGCACAAATGTTAACAAAGGTTGTTTTAGGTGTTCCTAAACACTTTCTCACAATATCAAAGGCACTTTGTACTTGTTTTCACTAATGCAAATCAGCAAAAAATGGTTTGAAAGACTGTTACATTTTTAAACATTCTACAACAGTTGTTTCTTGTCTTAATAGTTGAAAAATAGTGACTTTAAATGGTTCAGAATTTTATTTCAACCTTTCTTTTGAACATTTAAATAGTAATAGTCCGCTATTAAGGCACTCATATCCAGGCACATTACCTGCACACGGCACTACGTATATTACTATCCCCAGTCATAGGACACCACTGTTATTGGTTTATTTCGGCTTGGTCGAAAATAGGAATAAGATGCATTTCATTTAAATATCAATGCATTTGAGAATTGTTTTTCGTGATTTGCATAAAGCTGTGCTGTTAAGCTTTCTTGTATACAAATACCTTGTAACATATCTTTGATAGTTTTTAAGTAATTCATTAAGGTAGGAGTGTTACGTATCTTTTGGCGTTTCGTGTATGTCTGCCTAATGGCGGTACCTGTCGGGAGACTGTACGAGAACTTGGGGTAGCCTAGCAAGTTAAAGCGTTCGCTCGTCACACCGAAGACCCGGGCTCGATTCCCCACATGGGTACAATGTATGAAGCCCATTTCTGGCGTTCCCCGCCGTGATATTGCTGGAATATTACTAAAAGCGGTGAGACACTAAAATCACTAAAATATAATAGTGGCTGCATTATAGTGTTTGCTTCCACGTTTGAATTGACAGTTTGTCAAAAGTAGTACTTCTCAGTTTACAGTTAAGCTGTTTGCTTTACCTCGATATTTCATATAGTTCTTCAGTTTATTCATTTTTCTTATTTGTATTTAATAAAAACGATTACTTGACGTGTTAACCCTTGAGAAACAAAATCCATGCTCCTTTACAACATAACAAGCATAACGTCCGCATCTAAAACTCCAATGACGTTGGTTTGCAATGAATACAGGAGGAAATAGGTCATAGCGAGGGTACACGCTTTGATCTTGACTTTCGCTTTACATGACACGATATGCTATAGCTGAAATACTTCACTGAATTAACAACAACAAAACCGATCACTCCCTCTGAATGAGACGTGCCATTTCTTCAAACCTGAATATTATTCCGGATTGATAATGATTTTGAATAACAATGCCATTTGTCTCTATGACAAAAAGCGTAAAACTGGTCTATTCACGCCCTGTATTCACACCCTGTATTCACACCCTGTATTCACTTGGAAGATACTGTAATACCTTATACTTAAATAGGGACGGTGGTGTAGCCTAGTAGTTAAAGCGTTCGCTCGTCACGCCGAAGACCCGGGTTCGATTCCCCAGATGGGCACAATGTGTGAAACCCATTTCTGGTGTCCCCCTGCCGTGATATTGCTGGAATATTGATAAAAGTGGCGTAAAACTCACTCACTCACTCACTCACCCACTCACCCACTCACCCACTCACTCACTGATACTTAAATAGATTTCAACCGTATTCAAACAATCCGCGAAGAGTAATCTCTTTGTAAGGCATGACCGGGCGTGAAGTTTTCAAACTCAAATTTACTTTTACTAACGATAAAAAAGTAAAGTTTTTCAAGTCAATTTGCACATTGTGCTCAAAACAAATTAGTTACGGTGACATGAACCCCCGTAAAGCTTCCAGGTGTAAAACAAACAAACTACATACACACTTAATCATGACTGATAAGAAGGTCACACTGATAACTAAACCGTTGCACTAATCAAACACCCAAGCCAAGAGATGCAAGTATGCAAGTGTGCAAATATACAGCTACGAATACAATGGAACATGTTCCACATTAATCACTTGCATAAAGGGACAACCTGTTGAAATGTTTTCGATTCATAGCCTTACGGTCCTGTAATATCCATACATGTGAAGCACACTTCAATGGTGCTATTTTTCGTGACTGGGGCAGATCGCAGTCCAGGATATACGCACGAATCTCCGGTCGCCAGTGTAATCCGAAGTCTACGCCGCTACAAAGCTCTGTTTATCAATAGCGATCTCAGGTGTGAGGACTTCAACCATGGACTTGAAAAATGTTACCGACGAGAAGGAAGTGTTGCTGGTGAGTTTGTTTAACTTCTCGCAACAAAATAGCAAGAGCATATGACCCGTAGCGATCCATATTTAATAGCGTTAATAACAGTTAAAACAACACTGTCTCATCCTTATACTGTCGCCATTACAGAGATTATTAGAGGTTGGGACACGTTCTACCCAATATCGTTATAATTTGGGAGTGAGAGGCAAGTCACATAGCACACAACCTTGTCCCTCATTATTGCTATGTCACACAAACGTTATCGCTACGGTAATGGAGGTACGTGACACATCTTGATATCCTGTTACATACGGAACGAAAACAACTGACACAGTACACAACCCTGTCCCACCCACACCCGCATGTCTACTAAGGCACGTGTTATCGGCATATGGATATACTCACTGTCCACAATGAGGGCAATCACGGATCTAATTACATTCTGTAGAAATGTCACCCTTAGAAGCTGTCGTGTGAACGTTTTACTTCAATGGCTTCAATTATAATTCACAGTGAGCAATAGTTGAATAGCTTTCCATTTTAAAAGCTACGTATACTGCCTGGCTTGTTAATAATAACCTGGCATTAAAGCTGTGCACTTCACTGTGGCTCAGCAATTGTTCCCAATCAATACAAAGCATGCTATACCGACGAGCTGTCACACTGTGTGATACGCTCTATGTCATCCTACTGTATGGAGAAATATGCATGGGTTTATCTACCGTAGAGCGGTCGATGCTAGAACGACGCAGCCATGATCGGAGTCCGGGATTACGGAATACTGAATGAATAGGTTATTTAAATCCACGCCTGTGTAATGACACTGAAATATCAATGTTTGTGCACCCCTATGCAGGTTGAAGGGCGGTACGCGGGTTGAAGGGCGGTACACGGGTTGAAGGGCGGTACGCGGGTAGAAGGGACGGAGTTAGGCTAATGCATTGTCTGTGAAAGATATAATTTTGAAAGAAACGTGTATCTACTGAAAAAAGATCCTCAAACAGGCTGTTGAAGTTGTTGACAACCTAGAGCCCAGGAATACAGTGATGAGTAAGTGAGTGTAGTTTTACGCCGCACTCAACAATATTCCAGCTATATGGAGGCGGTCTGTAAATAATCGAGCCTGGACCAGACAATCCAGTGATGAACTGCAGGAGCATCGATCTACGAAATTGGGAACCGATGACATGTTTCAACCAAGTCCTGACCACCCGACCCCGTTAGTCGCCTCTTACGACAAGCATGGGTTACTGAAGATCGATTTTCACGGGTCAGTGAGGAGTTAGGAAGAGAAAGTAACATTGGTCAGGGCGGGAGCAACAGATTAGCATGGACAGTAACCGTCGTGTGTCTGTATGGATGGGGAATTTCTAAATGATTTTAGTTTCACGCCGCGTTTAGCAATATTCAAGCAATATCATGGCGGGATACCCCAGAAATGGGCATCACACATTGTACCCATGTGGGGCATCGAACCCCGGGCTTCGGCGTGACGGACGAACGCTTTAACCACTGAACTACCCTCACACCCCAATTATAATTGACTACATTCGACGTTCATGATACAACCAATTGTTGGTATTCCGTTTACATCAGGAACCTTTGCTTGTCGTGGGAGGCGAGACTAAAGCGAACGGGTTGTCAAACTCGCCGTGTCATCGTTACAAATGATATCTGGCACGATTTGTAAACAACAAACAAGTTATGTTATTGACTATATCATAATTATAACGGAGAATCGTGCTTAGGGATGGAATGGTCTTGCAAATACTTTGTATGATCACTATTTGATGATGATTCATATAGATATGCTTGAGGTATTTCCTAACAAGCAATGTTCTTTGACGAGATTTCGTATAAATATGGAAAGGTTTTGACGCCTGTATTTACAGTTCAGGACAAAGCTAACGCTGAGAGTGGTTTGAGTGCCACAGGGTGAAACGTGTATTCAAGAAAACCTACGTTTTGCAGTTTATTGTATGTTCGTTTTCACTTTTCCACCCAGAGATGTTGACAGATACATCTAGGTATATTGAAACAGTGACAGTATCCCCCAGTAACAGTAGATGTTCATCACATCAGTGATTGACGCTTTACACTATATACGTTACCATGTCACTCACCATACGTATTCACGTATAATCAAGCCCATGTATAACTGAAAAAATATAATAAATAAATAAAATAGGTTATTTTCATTCTTTAAACAAAACAAAATTCTTTAAACATCCATCAGATTTTTATGAACAAGAGACATATATAGCCCCTAAACATTAAAAACAAATATGATCTTAAAATAAAATCCCCACTGCTGTCAACCCCACTGAAAAAGAAATTAGTCTTCCCTAATATGTCTCATGTCTCATGCTCTAAACGTGTCAGTGACTTACATTGTATTGTCCGGGTTCAAATCCCACATTCCTTGGTTCAGCAACACAATACTCGTGTTGCCATAGCAATAAACGTGACCTGCATCACTTAAGTCTTTCCTCTCACAGCAAACTGCACGATGTGATGTAAATAACTCACTCACTCACACTCAAACAAACTCATATATTCAATTCTACCATGACTTCAGTAAATACTGGATTGTGATTGGTTAATCAAAGTCATTCAGAGGTATATAATCACGTTATATACCTCTGATTTTCCAAACAGTATGTATTTTTGCAAAATCTTAATAACGCGATTATGGTAGAATGGAGATAAACATACTGTGTTGGAAAATCAGAGGTATATAACGAAATTATAATAGCTCTAAATTTGATTTAATACCGAACGCGTAGCGTGAGGTTTAAAATCAAAAATTTTAGAGCTATTATTATATATACCTCTGATTTTCCAACACAGTATGTTTATCTCCTAATTTTACAATGCCTAATCAAAAACAGTGCTGTTAATTTATCGGCACGAAAGCTAAGGACAACGATAATACAACTCGCATTTCTACTGCAATATGACTAACTTCATGCTTATGGAGGTCTATGGAGGTATACTCGTGTTTAATCAGTACGAATTCCCATGTGCGTGAATCAAACTCTGCTTACTAGGCATAATATGTAAAGGAATATAATCGGTCACCGTTACAGCTGCAATCCCTTATGGACGAATCAAGTTCAAGGACTCTCGGTGTAAGGTTCAAAGATAACAGCTACTCAAGGAACAGATAACGCACATTTGTTCTAATTAAAGTCCAGATGTGGCAAGCTGGATTCACCTCAGGTAAGGTTGTCCTGAAGTCGACATTCTGGAGGACCGTTTGGTAAGACATTCAGCTTGCAAAATGCGTCCAGGACTGCTGTTGCTCCTGATTGTCTGTTGCTTTGTCCCGTCAAGCAACGGTCGAAAGAATGTTCTGTTCCTTGTGTCCGATGATATGAGACCGAACATCGGAGCGTATGAAGGGAAAGAGTATCCTGCCCCAGTGTCACCCAAGATGCACACTCCACATTTGAATGCTCTTGCCAAGAAGAGCCTGCTCTTGGAGAGAGCATATGTGTCCCAGGCGCTGTGTTCTCCGTCCAGGACTGCCTTGCTGAGCAGCAGACGCCCAGATACTACTCATGTGTACGATCTACAGCATTACTTCAGGATAGTTGGGGGAAACTTTACTACCCTCCCTCAGTACTTCAAACAGAATGGGTACAGGACCATGGGTTTGGGAAAGATATTCCATCCTGGGATGGCAGCGTCTGGTAATGATGACCCAATTTCCTGGACAGACCCTTACTTCCACGCTACTGATTCATATAGAGGTATGAAAGATATATGGTATGCTGTGCCGGAGAGCAGAGCCAAGAATGAGCCGCTTCAAGATACGATTTTAGCCAATCATGCTATAAAGGTACTTCAGGAAGTGGCACCAAAGGCGAAGTCAGGTGAGCAACCGTTCTTCGTAGCTGTTGGGTTCCATAAGCCTCATTTGCCGTGGATCTTCCCAATGCGCTTTCTCGACTATTATCCTCTGTCATCTGTGAGAGAACCAGAGAACTATTACGTTCCCGAAGATATGCCACCTGTTGCTTGGCACAATTTCAGCAACTTCGATAGCTTTAGCGATATAAAGAAGTTTCATTTTAAAGACGTTGGTTACATTAATTTCACATTCCCTCGTGAGTTGACTCTGGAACTGCGACGAGCGTACTACTCGGCACTCAGCTGCCACACAGACTCGGAAGTCGGAAGAGTTATTGCTGAGCTGGACAAACTCGGATTGGCAGACAACACAATTATATCCTTCTGGGGTGATCATGGTTGGCAGCTCGGAGAGCATTCAGAATGGGAAAAGCACACTAACTTTGAACTAGCTACACATGCTCCCATGATGATTCATGTTCCGGGGCTAACGGACCATGGTGTCAAATCGCAGCATCTTACCGAATTTGTAGACCTGTTCCCTACTTTAGCAGAGGCTGCGGAACTACCACCGGTTCCACTTTGTCCAGAAGATTCAACATCTGTGGAGTTGTGTACTGAAGGAATGAGCATGGTGCCTTTGATGAAGAACCCGAATGATCCCAATTGGAAGACAGCTGCATTCTCGCAGTACCCCCGAGAAGTCGGACAAAACAGAGTGATGGGATACTCAATCAGGACCGATCAATACAGGTACACAGAATGGCCAGAATTCCAAGGAAGCCCCCAATACCAACCACAATGGAATATAGAATTCGGGGCAGAGTTATATGATCATCACGTAGATCCTCAGGAGAATGTGAACAGAGCCAATGATCCAGCTTACCAATCGGTGAGAGATGAGCTCCGAGCTAAACTCATTGCTGGCTGGAGGCAAGCTCTGCCGCCTGGATATAAATAGCCACTGATGTTAAGATGTGTAAGACGGACAAACATGAAGCTCTGACTGAGAATCTGAACAGTGTATATGCTGCTTGGGTCAGATAGTAGGAGACATGTTGCTGTCCCTCTTGTGTATTCCATCATTGCTGTAATAAATATGAAGGGAATGATATCCGAACCGTGAGCACGGTAATTCTGAGACTAGTGACTCTTTGCAGTATGTTGAA